CCAAAAGTCACTTACATGCAAGTAGACGTATGATGACCTACCTTCAGTCTTCTGCTTAGACTAAGGAAGTCCTTTATTCTCCATCTATTGATCTTTCATGTAGGTTTTATGGATGCAGCCAACTTTATCCACAAGCTTTTTGGAGTGGGCAATTCCATAGAGCTACTTATGATGCTAATTGCACCAAAGTAATTGTCTCTGTTTTTTCACTTACATCAGCACAAGTTAGTATGAGAATCACTTTTTCTTTCATATTTTTGGCCCTAAATTCAACCAATGTTTATGCTCTCATTTCACATTCAAAAAAAACACACAAGACCCAGAATATACCTTTACATCTCTATTAATACAAATTAGCATTGGCTCTGAGCTTAACTTACTCCGTTTGAGATGATTAGATATAATTGCACCACAATTAAGGATTGACTGACACGCACCAGATGGAATAAATTGGATTTCAGAAGTAGCCAATATAAAGTCCACATAATTAGCCCTTCTTCTGAGGCTATTTTTTTTAGAAAAGACTAATATGTTTCCATTCTCACAGCATTTTAATAAGTAAATTATTAGTCCATTTTGTCCTCAGATGGAAGAAATAATTAATTTTATCAGAGTTACAGCTCTATCCTCCAACTACAGATCCATATAATAAATTAGCCTATAGTTCTGTCTCCAGCTTCATAAAGTTGGATGGGAGCCTTACAGACTTCGAACTTCCATTGAAAAAAGTACATATTACTGGGAAAAATACAGGAAAAATCTTGTTTTATTAAATAACATAAGCAAAATTTCCTTTGGCTTCAAGGGAAAGGTTCAAGAAGCTAGAGTCATAGGGATGTTAGAGAGCTCACACTCACCTACATTTAACACGTAAAACAAAGGACCAGGTAATAAACATTAGAAGTAGTTTCCTGCTGAATATACAACTGTGTGTCATGCAAATCCTTGGCCAAAAAATGCAAGTCAGTTGACACAGAGCTCAATTTTGAGAGCTAAACTAAAAGTAATCCAGAATGAGGCAAGGTTCATGCTGGAGAAGCATGTCATGGAAAAGCAATGCAAAATAAGCAGAAATATCATAGAAAAAGAAAAGATCTCATTAATGTTGCCCAGCTGCTTAGGTAAGCTATATCAAACAACTAGGAAATGTGTACCAAGTACTGGAATGGTGCTGTACATTTACTGAATAAAGGTTTCAACACATGGAAAGAAATGCCAGTAATTCACAATAACACAAGCAGTAGTAGAAAAAATAGGCTATCAAAAACTATCAGTTGGAAGTGCAAATGATAAACACAAATAAACACAGCTATTTTCATACTGGATCTGAAATATTGGAGGGATATAAACACTAGAATTATTAACTTACACTCAAAACAAATGAAGTCTCGTTTGTACAGGAGTACATAAAAGCATGTATTGCTGGGGATGAAGGGCTATCTTATACACATTAGAAGTATTAGAAGTATTAGAATCTCTCTGGTCAATATTTAAGCACATACAAACCTTCTGAAAAACAGTTTGTATTTGTGTCTATATGCTTTAAATTGTCCTTAATCTGGAATATGACAATTCATACATATTTTCCTTTCAAGACCAAGAATGAGATCCTAGCAACTAATGAGCTCATATATGGATGTAGCAATGTGTCATCTTGCAGCTGAGGATTAAAAGGTCATTTTACAATAACAGCTTTGTTTCTCTCATACAGGATGGTTAACACTAGAAATTATGCTTTTAATTTCATAAAAGTAGTAAATGAAAAAAGACAAGCAAATTTCATTTTTTGTATGGGAAGTTTTATCACTGCTAAAATCAGAAAAAAACCTAAGTTTACACAAATAAAAAATATGTATATGGGTATATTTCTTTTATTTCTGATCAAATACAATTTCTTTAACACTGATAAAAACGTTAAAATTTTATTTGTACATCTTAATGTAGATGAAAAAGAAGCTTGACCCATATGTTGTTTATAAGGTAGTTAAAGAGGAAACCTTTGCTCGTTAGTTTTCTACTGACAACAGCTGGCTGTGGGAGAGCTGCGTTTATTTCCCTTTCATACCCAAGATGACTTGAATCCATATCATCCTTTTCCCAGGAGATTGCCTTACCAAACTGTTCCTTAAAAACAATAAAATATCAACTTACCAAGAAAATCTGAACATTATGCATTATAATTGAAGGGAAAATGTTTCAAACTTTCACAGTAAAGAACAGGCCTAAATTACGTATGTCCTTATATCTCATTCAAACTTTCCATTAACTGCAGTGGAACTTCTTGGCAGAATTCAGCGAATATTCAAAGAAGATCTTCCTCTCTGCTGCAGGAATAAGATCTGAGCAAAATTTCAGCAGTGGTGGGTTTGTATTATGACATTTGAAAAGTCTGTCTGCATTGTGTGAGTAGTCCATTTGAATATATTGAATTCAAATTACCATTTTTCATTGTATCAAGTTATATTTTCTGCAGCATTCATGACTGAAGACCTAATAAACACATGGGACTCCAATCAACAGATAACTAATTCTGGTCAGAGCAAATACAAACATGAAAGTGCTTAAAAACAAACAAACCAATAGAAATCAGTCATCTGCCAGACAGCACCATAATTTTCCCCTGATAGTATGCCAACAGAAGTTTAAAATTATAATCAATCTGTATACATTTCAGAAACAAAGCTGCTTTTTTTTTTAATGGAAAAATAGTACAATAGTAAGAAAAAAAAGTGACTATTGCCTGCCAAGATTTCAATATGGAATAAACAGCCATCCTTGGAAAGCTTATGATGGTGTTTTATTTCCCAGCCACACTAACATATCTTGATAATAGCATCTTTCTATCACACCTGACAACACAGGAACATATTAATGGCAAGCAATGATGAATTTTTTAAGCTAACATCTTGGATAAAAGCTGAGTTCCAATCAAGTCACATACAATTTATAAATACCCAGGATTTTTGGCACATGGTGCAAAAAGACCTCAGTCTCTTGATGGCTTCATCATCTCTAGCATAATTTTCAGAAAGAGCATTAAATGAATCCAAAATTCCGTGATTAGCTGAACAAGATTCTAGATTATACCATTACTAACTTGGTGCCAACACTCAGACCTTTGACATAATCTATACAAAAGCAGTCAACTTCCACGGAAATAATTTTGTGTCTTTCACTTGTTGAGAAAATACTTTTCAAATGTTGTCGTTATCAACCACAAGATAAAAATGCCACAAAAATGTTAAGATCAACTGAAGTATATACTAATAAAAGGGAATTTTCTCAACTTCTGAATAATATTTTTGCTACTATTTCTCTGCACTGTGATTTATCATATATGTTAAATAAGAAGAACTAAAAGTGAAACAGAAGTGAAACTGGAAGATGCAGGGTTTCAATTAATATCTACTGGTTTATAAACCTGTTAAACTAAGGAGGTGATCAGAATCCTTTGAAATCAATGAAAAACAACTAAAATTTTCACAAACTCAGAGGGGTCAGACTAAAAGTTTTGCTTCACTTCCTAGGCCCTTAGATAAACATACCGGTTATATATAAAATATAATAGTCACTACAAAAACAGACATGGCCCAACTAAATGAAAAAATACAACCTCTGCATATCATGAGAATGAACAATTACTTCAGGCATCCATCACTTCTATGTGTTGCTCTTCTGTTCATCTAATAGATTTTTAAATCAGAACATACCATTAGGATCATTTATTTTGATCCTCTATGAAGTGCACTAATTCCCTCATCAAGCCCATGACTTCTCATAGCTACATCATATTTGGAGGAAAAATAAATTGTTGCAGCTTTTCATTATGAAATTTTATCACCAAAGGAACCTATCACTGAAAGCTTTAATTTTAATGGAATTTCTACTGAGTAAATTAAATTTTATTTCTTATTAAATTAGTTTTACCAGTTTTCTGTTTGTTGTTAGCCAAAAGCTAGGACTTTTAATGCTAGCAAGTATGTAGCTCATAAATGTTCCACTCTGAATTGAGTGAAGTACACAAATCACAGAATCACAGAACGGGTAAGGTTGGAAGGGACCACAGTGGGTCGTCTGGTCCAACCTCCCTGCTCAAGCAGGGTCTCCCTAGAGGACATTACACAGGATTGCATTCTCTAAAAGCAATGCATGAATTAACAGTGATGTGGTTCATATCACTAAATCTACAATCAGTAATGGTGACATTTATTCTAGTAAAAATGCCAGGATCAGCATGCGCCGTGGCATACTCTGCCTGGAATCATTTAAGTGTGGTTGTGGTAAACAAAGATTAGTATCATCTATGTCCAACTCGAGGATAAAAACCAGCAGGTGTTGTACAGAACTGACTGTAGATACAATGCTAAACATAAACTCTGCTAACCTAAGTGCTACCTTGAACAAGCGCACATGTCTCTTGATAGTTCCAGCAAATACTTCTGCTCTAATCAAAGGTTTGAATAAGGAATTGACCTAGGGCACTGAGTGCCATGTAAAGAAAGTTTTATTCAGATGTGACAAAAGTCATCCTTTGCCATTCGTTCTTTCTTATAAGAATTAACATTCTCACTGTGAGACCAATTTGCTCAAAACTTATTACGTTAACCTTCTTAGTAGTTGTTTTAGCTCCTTTCAAAGCAATCTTGGAAATTCACACTTTTCATACACACTTGAAAACTCCACAAAAACGACATTGCCTGTTTTTCAACAATCAAAAAGAACTTCAAATTTACAACCGAATACCCTCCCCACCCCTCACCTCAGATGGTACTTCAGAAGGCAACTGTAATTTAGATTCATTGTATTTAGGTACTTCAAACCCTTGGCTATTTACTATCAGGGAGAAGTTCAAACGCTAGAGCTCTTGTTAGAGGGGATCCAAAGATCAAATTGTATGTTCAAACAATGACATTTTTCCTCTGTGGTTCCAGTCTGCTAAAATCTGAGAGTCCTGCTGTTAAAACACTCTCCCATAAACTGAAGAAGGATAAGTGACCTACCTTGGAAAGTCCGCCTACTTCCAAATAGAAGCAGATAATGAAAACATTCCAGGTGACCCACAGGGCAGTCCACACCGTGTACTAAACACAAAGCCGGATGAAAGCAAAAAGACAGAAAAATAAAATGTGAAGATGAAAGGACTTTATAGTGAGCAGATCAATAATAAAAAAACTGATATCAATAAGCATTGTTCTGGGAACAGCCAAGCACAGAGAGTTCAGAAAAGGCGGTCTCCCTACAGAAGTCCCCTAAGAAGCACCGGAAATTACAAATCCAATACTCGTTGCTGTACTAAATAAATACCAATAAAACAGATTTATTCTTTATAGTTTTAGACTATCCTACTGATATCAATTAAGTCCAAAATGCTGACCTAAACACCGGTTTTGGGGCAACTGCAAGTAATTTTTAAATTATGATTGAGCTCTGTTGAAGGAAATTCCAGAATAACACAGTACTTTAAGTAAGCAAATATTAAAATAACATTTAAATATTATAAAGAAAGGCACAAGGAAAAAAACCCATCACCAAATAAAACAGAAGATCTATTGATCTGATAATCTGAATTTTTTTCTTCTTTTAAATTAATAAGGGTAAATCTGATCTCTTAAGAGTCTTTGACAGTAAAATGTACTTTAATTACACTGAAAATAGCTCACTATTTTTCCAACACCTCTGCCATGAACCTGATCCTACAAAGCAACCTTAACAGTTGAATGCATCTCTTCTGGGTTCTCCAATGTCGTATTGAACTCATACTCCGTCTACAGCATGAATGGGAGAATAATGTGTCTACCTTAACTCAGCTTGGCTGCACCTCGAGTACTGTGTCCAGTTGTGGGCCCCTCAATGCAGGAAGGATATTGAGGTTCTGGAGCATGTCCAAAGAAGGGCAATGAGGCTGCTGAAGTGACTCAAGCACAAGTCCTATGAGGAGTGACTGAGCGAGCTGGGGTTGTTTAGCCTGGAGAAGAGGAGGCTCAGGGGTGACCTTATCGCTCTCTACAACTACCTGAAAGAAGTTGTAGCCAGGAGGGGTCAGTCTCTTCTCCCAGGCAACCAGCAGTAGGACAAGAGGGCACAGTCTTAAGCCGCAACAGGGGAGGTTTAGGTTGGACATTAGGAAGAAGTTCTTTACAGAGAGAGTGATTGGACGTTGGAATGGGTTGCCCAGGGAGGTGGTAGTCACCGTCCCTGAAGGTGTTTAAGAAGAGACTGGATGTGACACTTAGTGCCACGGTCTAGTAGATGAGGTGGTGTTAGGTCACAGGTTGGACTCGATGATCTCAGAGGTCTTTTCCAACCTAGTCGATTCTGTGATTCTGTGATCTTTTGTGTCTTAATTGGCAGTACAATAGACTGGCACTATTTCCTTACAGACGCACTGTTTAGTAACATACAGTAAACTATTCCCAGTGAACTCTCTGGGCAGTCCACCTCAGAAGCATTTCTGCCTGACAGGCCCAGTGCCCACCCAGCCACACTGGAGCTACATCCTCCTGAAAAAATGCAATGAGCAGCAGCACTGCCACTTTACATTTACACACTTATAACCTTCATAGTGAAGAACTGCTGCTAAGATCCTTTACGAGTCTAATTAGCTGTGACCAGATGAGGGTTAATATGCAATTGTTTTGGTTCAATCTACTCATTAAAGCTCAACATACTAATCTACAATATGTTGGATCACATTTGCATTGCATAAGTGCCATCAGTTTGGATTTCTTGCTCAGTTTTGGGTTATGTTCCCCTCTTCCTTCCCCCCTCTCTGTGATGTATAATGAAAGGTTCAGGTGAAGAGGGTTGAATTTTTCCCCACTTTGATTAACCCCCCATGCATACGGTCATTTTTGCACACCAAACATGAGAACTGCTTTAATATCATTTCTTCTGAGGTACACAGACAGCTGGGAGATGGCTATGGCCTAAGAAGTAGACAATTAATAAACAAAATAAGAGTAACGGTCCTGGGCAGTTTCCTCTGTCTTACAGAGAAGGGCAGTGTGGCAACTGGAGGCTGGGTTATTATAA